CCCGCGGCCCCGCCCCCACGGGCCGCACCCGCGCGCCGCTGACTGGGCCGCGGCCAGGAGGACAGGAGGGGGGGAACGCCCCGCCCCCGCGCACGCGGATTGGCTGTCGACTGGAGGACTCCGGGAAGGCCCTACCCCCCACCGCTTCCCGTCTGTCACTCGCCACCAAATGCGCCGGGGATTGGGTTCGGCTTAGAAAGGGGAGGGGAGGTAAGGCGGGGACGGGGCGGAGTAACAGCACAGGCGATTGGTCAAACCGGGGGCGGGGCAGGGAGTGAGAGAATGTGTGATTGGCAGCGGAGGGAAGAGCGGGCAGCGGGAGGAGTGGTCCTGGCAGGCTGGTCCCGCGTCTGCCATGTGCTTTGCTCTCTGGAAAAACTGCTCTGCGTCCCTTCAGAAACCCAGTTGCACCCGGGCCCGCACCAGGCGCAGATCCTAGCATGTTTTTTAAGGCAAGTGTCTCGGACGAACCCCAAAACAATGACACGTTTCACTCGGTGGCGCATAACATCATGTTTAAGGGGGAAATGGCGTCATGAATGAAGGGAGGGTGAAGTGACGTTAGTGTGAAGAGTACTGGAAACACAAGTGACCAACCTGTTTCCCGCTAAATTTTCCAGGACAGGCCTGTGTGCCCTGCTGATAACCAAAACTCGTGTCAGAGGCCATATCTTTTATTAGACCAACTAAATAGTAGCAAAACAAATTATTTAGTTGGTCTAATAAAAGATAATCGCCTCTGACCTCAGAGCTTTGTTTCTCTCTATTTATTAGACCAAGAGAGCTATAACATATATCCCTGCGTGGGCTGCTGCACCAGTGCCCAGGAAGAGTCCCTGAGGCAGGATGCCCATCCTCCAGATCTGAAAAACTTGCTCTAGATCCATGCCCTAAACTCCCTAAACATTTCCCCAATGCCAGGCAGCATCCTTTTGGAGTCTGCAAAGAGGATGCAGCAGAAGAAATGTGAGTTACCTCCTCCACAAAGGAATAGTATTGCTGTGCTTCCAGCCCTGTGCGAAGACTAATGATCTCTGTCTCTCAGCAGTGACAGGCTAAGGGGGTTGGACTAGAGGGCCTCCTGCAGTCCCTTCCATCCCTAACTTCCTATGACTCTGTGATTCATTACCTGGAACCACAAGAGCTAGACTACTTGTATTCCAGGTGCTGGTGCAGCATTCAGGACTGCTCCCTGGAACTTGATTGTCCCTGGAACAAAAACACCCAACAAATTATAACTTGGGAATCATTTAGGACCAGCTTCAACTATGTTTATTCATGCTGAATTACCTCTTACTCCTCAAGTGCCCCTGTTGAGTACAGTGAGTTCATTCTGATGTAGAGTAAGATGCTACTCAATACAATTTCCAGGTAATCCACTGATGAGAGAAAGAATTTAGTAACTTCTAGGGAAGGACCATTAAAACTAGCTATTGAAAACACATAATAAAAGGACAGAGAGAGAGGTTTTGAGGTGCTGCTAAAACTATGGTGGGAATTTCCATCCAGATGGAAAGACAGAAGGAAGACAGAACGGTGGAAGATAAGTGCCTTAAATTCACCCCTCGGCAGTAAGCAGAGGAGCTGCTTAACTCATCTTCATTGTCACTTCCTATTTTAAGGACGTGACACAGACTTTGTGCTGGCCCTTTGCACTCAGAGTGAATTAATTAAATACAAAAATTTTTTTTGAATACTAACAGATATTCAAGACTTTTGCGAGACAGAATCCTAGGTATAAAAATGGGTAACGTGTGATACTGTATTACAGAGGCTTAGAGCCATGGCATAAAGCTGTAGCTTCCATTAAAAAGTCCAACATTATAACTTTGGTTTGGAATTTGTTTTCTTCCCTGACAAATGACATGATTGTTCTGAAGGCAAGAGAGAATGATTCTGCAAAGTTAAAAAGAAGGTAAAAGAAAAGTTACAGGTTTTTAAGTGTTTTTAAATTTTGACTTTTTTGTGATCCAAAATGACAACATTTTAATGGAATTAAACCTCCTTGAAGACTTATATGCTGCCTATGTTAAAAGGAAATACATGAATTAACAAGCATTCGAAAGCTTATCTGACTATCCCAACTACATAGCTGGTTCAATAGAAGATATCACCCTAAGAAATCCTTGCCTCTTGTATAATTTCTGGATCATCACAACTATAATATCACTTCTACACAACCATTAAAATTAAGCCAAGTTATTGACAATTGTTGTTATGAATAGTTTGGGTATTGTCCTGCTTCCAGTGGGGACTATGTATATGCATATAAGCATGCTGTCTTCTACTGATTGCTTGCAACACAAGAATTTAATGATCTTTTCACAGCTAAAACATTTTCCTTCATCTTAAATGTTTACTTTTAGAACTAAAGTATCATGGTTCCACTCCATGGTTTGCTTGTCTTCCTTAGGCACAATCTCATGTAGCCAGAATAAAATACATTCCCATAATATTGATCTCCCAGATAAATTAAAGAAAAGAAAAATGCGTATTTTAGGACTAAGTCATATTGGGACATATAATTCTGCAAATAGGACACATAATTCTGAAAATATTGATTGATTTGGAGTATAACAGATTTTAAAATATTTCTTCTATGGCATTACAGCATTATGTATACTATTTCTTTGTGTATTTGCCCCATAAAACAATATCATATGATAAAGGGTGACACAGTTAGACTCTGTCACTCACTTGAATAGCTATCCCACTTTAAATTTACAATTCACTTTCAACTAAAATTATATAACTAAATAGGTAGATATAGTTGACAAGCCTGTATACATTAATATGTTCCCTTTGGAGCCACTGGTGTCTGTCATTGTGTAGAGCCAATGCATTAGACTGATAGAAATGACTGGAGGAGCTGTAACTGTAGACTGTATCACCATCTTTCCCAAACTAAATGTAAATATGCCTCAGGCATAGCCTAGGATCTGGTCTACTCAAGCATATCTATGCATTTCCTTGTAATACAACAACTTGAACTCTTATTTAAAATAATCACTTTTTATGAGTAAACTCAAAATATAAACATAAAAGTTAGAAAAAAACATACAAATTACACTGATTCTGGAAACATCTGCAAACTTCAACTTAAGCACCTAAGTACTTGCATGTATGAAGCTAGACATATTCATAAGTGTTTGCAGATATAACTGAGTCTAGAAAATACAAGTTAAGAGATATATATAAATTTACTTCACGTGCATGTCTATCTGTCTTATCTATTTTAATTAATCAACAATATTTTACAGTTCTTATTCCATATCCAGTTGGGTGAAGAAATTAGTATTAGCACTTAAACAAAAAATCTTTTTATTTAAATTGTAAATATTTCCCATTTGATAGAATCCCTCCAAACAAAATGTTTTGATTTCTAAAACAAGATAATAGAAACAATATACCTAAAACCTTAAAATTGCACAGATTAAATTTAAGTTGGTGAGGAATATGCATTTCTTGTTTGTTTATTATGTAGGAGGATGTAGTAGTGGAATAGTTAAGGTATTTTACTAAGGATCCAAAGGTGGAAGTGTGAGATTCACCCTGAACTCATGCTGAAGACAGCCTTCAGTTAATCTAGCTGTGTGTGGGCAATCCAGTTGTAATGCTGGCCCTTCTGGGTGTGCCATTGGCTACAGACACTGGCTGCCTTAACCACAGTAGCTTAATGAACTGCTTTGGCAGACCTTATACTTACTATGTGAACATCATCAATTTTAGGATGGCCTCAGCTATGCATTTTCTTTTGTTTTTAAGTGCTTTTGTATTACAAATGATATAATAGGCAACTGCCCTATTATTACTTAATAGCCTTAGCAGGTTTGTGAACAAACATTTATTGCTTTTGAAATACACATATCATGAAAGGAAACGCCATTCTGATAATATTAAGATTCTGCAGCCATAAAATTAGGAAATGCCACAATACACTTATATAACTGACTTTGTAACTAATTGCCACTGCAGCATACCTAAGGGCACACTTTTAGCACAGTATGCAGGGATTTAACTACATGAGACCCATTAGTGTTAATGTTAAATCTGCCTGCTGAAAACTAACTCTATCATATGTAACATTTTCCAGGGTTTTGGAGGCAGGACCATATGTGCAGCAACTGGAAAACATAGAGGGTCTGAATTAAAAGCATTCTGTAGAACCCTCATATACAATAAGTTTTGTGAGTATGTCTGAACTATATCATTTTGACAGGGTTTTTATTTCTTAATAATACTTGTACTTTGTAACTGAAGATTTTAAATAGCTTCACAAACATTACTTACACCTCTGTGAGAGGTATGGATTATCTTTTCGTCCTGTTAAATGGGTAAACAGACACAGAAAGGATAAGGGACTTCCACAAGGTTGTACAGAGGGTCATTCACAGATCCAGGACTAAAATGCAGGAGACCTGATTTCTAGATCCTCCTCAAGAGCTAGGGGTGTCAAACACATTTGGCACTACAAGCTAAATCCAGACTATGGGGCTCTCCACAGGCCAGAGAACCCACAAGCAGCAGCAATGGCATTAATTCCAGTGGCAGCTAGAACTGCTGTTTCAGTACAGTTCCAGAACCTAACCACTACTACTGCCCACCCCACTTTTCCTCTGCTGCTGATATTAGTCACCAGAGTGACTAAAACCCCTGATTTCAACAGAGTCTGATAAGAAGAGCTGGAGGAGGAGGAGGGGAGTGCAGCAGAGGATAGGGAGAGGGGCTCAGGCTAGAAGCAGCAGGGGGGAAGGAGGGAGAGGTACTAGAGCAGCCCTCCCTTCCCTTCTGAAGAGAGCTGAGCTGGGCCAAGCCCCAGCAGGACTGTCTCATTAGGGATGTCTGCCTGCACAGTCCCAGGCTTTTCACTTCTGGCTAATCAAGGGGCAGGAGTATTGCCAGCCCCCAGCCCTGGACTAGCACTCTGAGGCAAGGCAGGGTATGGAATTCATGCATCTGTTGATGATACAGAGATTTTTCAATCCCCCTCCCTGCTTCATCATACTGTCTACAGCAAACTGGCAGGTGAGGAAGCCAGCCAGTGGGGGCTGATAACAGTCTTTATCACCCAATTAGCGAAGCAATAGCCTCTCTCCACATTACTTCAAACTTCGTAAACAGCTTACCGGCTGACCTGTTGATTAGTTCCAAAAGCCCTAAGCGGTCACTGTTATGTCTGCCTATTCCAGTGAAACTGGAGAGAGAAACACACCCAGACACCACTCGGCATTAGCTAGCATACCACATGCTGGCCATGGTCCCTGCTGTGGCAGAGAGGGGGAAGGGATCTCTGTTTAAGCAGTGAGTGGGTGGGGGGGGCCCACGGGGAAGCCAGCAGACCCTGCTGTGCCTGCAAGTCTGTGCTGAGCCCCAGCCAAGGAGCAGAGGGGAGGGGCCCACCCTGCTGTGGAGCAGAGAGTCCTGCCCAGCCCAGAGAGCATGCCAGGATGCTGGGGGACTCTGATTTAACTTAAACCAGCAAGGGATCTGGGACAGACATTGCATAAACCCGTTTAATCCAAGTCAGTTAAGTCTGATACTACTTTCAACCACATTCACATCAAACCGGTTTCAGCCATTTTCAAACTGGTTTATGTGCACTGAACATCTGTTCTGTTACAGGTTTAAACCAGTTTCTGATCATTTAAAGTGGTTTATGTGTAATGTCTGTCCCTAGCCCCTGGGTTCTGGAGCTGCACTAAAACTGCAGCTTTGACAGCCATGGATATTAACACTGCTGCCACAGTGGCTCTTGCAGATGCAGTGATGAACCCATGGATACATTCCAGCCAACAGAAATGGGTGGTCCAGCCCTCAATGAAATTCTGCAGGACAGATGCCCCACCTCCACAGGCCAGATCCATGTTATCATTACTACTACCACCATCATTACCTCATTCTTTGCAATACTAGGTAAATTGAAATCTAACACAGTAAAATCTAATTCAGACTGTATACTGTTGTTTTTGAATCACGTGATCTTTGTTGTTTCTGACTGTAATGGAATCTCATTCAGGAGCAGCATTAGAGCAGTTTAGACCACACAATGACATGAGGCTCCAAGCTGGTCAGAGGCTCCTGTTACATTGGGTTATGCTTTGGGGCCAGTTATACTTGTATAATAGCTGAATAATTGAGACTTTGCTAGAGCTAGAACTCAAAAAGCTCCTATGTGATTTGTCACACAACACAGTTACTGTAGTTGTTACATTTCCTGCATCCATTTTAGTTTTTACTGTGGTTGTCTAAGAAATTGTTTGATCCTGAAACTGAACCTTTGAAGAAGGCTCAAAAAAGGTAAGCTGAACTGCTTGACCATATTGGATATCATAATAACATTCTCTCATGCAGCCTATCTGTACTTTAAATGGCCTCTCAAAATTGAATACAGGTGCTCAAAATGTCAGCTCTATCATTGGTGAAGAAACAGAGGAGAGGTAGCTCCTCAGTTGCACTTACATGGTCAGATAATGACATTTTTTTCTGGTCAGATAGGGTGGATGCTATTTGTACTTACATAGCTATGTTCGTGCTGTGCTTCCCTTCTGAGTACAGTAAGAAGACTTCACTATAGCTTCCTAAGCTCCAGGGTAGGAAAGAGCTGCATGGATATGTGCCTATGTCTGTGTAAGTCCCCCAAAAATGTAGTTGGAGAAAAACACAACTAGCAACTGCTTGACAAAAAAGAAGAAATGTCCTATCTTTTAGCCTGGTGGTTAGAGTGGAAGACCCAGATTCTTGCCCCTTATCCAGATGAGGTTTGAACCTGCCTTTCCTAGCAAAATGTTCCAACCTTCAAGCCACAGATAAGGCTCCCTAGTCCTACTCTTGAAGCTGAACCACTGGACAACTAAGAGGAGAAGATTTGTGGGGCCAGGAGTAAGCAAGCAAATTAGAGGGAGTGTGGCTCAATGCCAAGGATACTATCATCAAAAGGAGCAAGCCCCAGGCTCTGACTATACTTATCCTAGTGGGCCAGAAGCTATCCCACTTCCACCTACCCAATTTATCTAATGAATGTTAAATACAAAAGTCAGAAAAGCCAATCAGAGTAGGGGCCAGAACCCATGGCCTCTCCCCTCCTGGAAAGATGCCCATCTTTCCACCATTTAGGCATTTAAATGTAAAAAAGAAGTCAACCCACCGGCAAATCCAGAATTGCTGTGAGGAGGTGTGACCACCCCCCTTTGGCTGGGTGGCACATACTCAGTGAAGAGATCATTTTGCCCATACAGCATGCGGCCAAAGGGGGTGTGTTTGCATGCCTCTCCCCGGTATCTCCATCCTAGATGCCAGTGAGCTCAGAGTTCACCAGCTAGTTGGAACAAGATCTGGCTGGAGTCTCTGAGTTTCACACAGCTCCAGAGCCCAGTAAGGTGAGTGCCACCACTGTTTTCCCTCCCCCAAAAAATTAAACAACAAGGATAAAGAGGGGAGGAGAGGAAGAGATGATCATCCCCTACATTCATACAACTCTGGAGTTCAGAGGCTGAGCGCAGCCGCTGCTCCTTCCCTCTTTTCCTTCACTGCTGAATTCCACTAGGAGTTGGGGGGGTAAGGGGAGGTTGGGAGAAGGGGAAGACATGAGGGAAAGGCAAACAGCAGCAGCACTCACCCTTGGGCTTTGGAGCTGCATGATAACCAGCTTGTGAGCTCTGAATTCATGGCACATGCAGATCTCCATCAAAACTTGCACTCACATGCCAGTGAGCACAGAAAGCTCACTGCTCATGCAGCACACGGTCAAAGGGAGATGCAAGCATGCCATCCTGCCCACCTGGGTCCACCCCTGATTTGGCCTCTAGTGTTGCATGAAGGGTTTTTGAAGAATAAGCAAGTAGTTTCCTTCTATGTCCACACAAAACCATATTTTTATGTTATTACGTAAAACTAAAACATTCACTAAACACAGTATAGAATCTCAAAAGAAATTCACTGTTTTTAAACATCAACTTTTCTCCAATTAGAAATATTTGCATATACTTTTGAAAACCTGCATGTGCCTAAAACCACATGGATATATGTAAACTCTGTTCAGATAATGCTTTTATCATCCTCAGGGATAAAGAGATTAAGACAGAAGAAAGGAATCTCTTGGAAATACACAACTGTGATGATTACGTATGTCAGTTGGGTGCTGCTGTGATGAATTTCAGGGAAGATGAAAAGGATTTCCCTGGCAGCAAAAAGTCTCTAACACAAAGAAGAGAAAATGAAGCAAAGCAGTTGTATTTATCTTTACATCATAACAGACAACCTTACTCCTGTTTTTGTGATGTTTTCCCTGCTCTCATCTTAGAAGGTTTTCCATTTGATATGAAGTATTAATAAGAAAAGAAATAAAATCAGAAATCTGGATACATTTGTCTTTCACAATTTGTTATAGAAGTGCCAGTTTGATGTATTTAATGTGTCCTGATTTTACTCTTTGCAGATGGCTAAGATACAGGAAGGGCTTATCTAAATATTAGGAACATAATTGTGATTTGATATATCACCTCTCCTCTCCCTTCTACCATATAGCTCCATTGTTGAGATCAGCAAAGAGTCTCCAGCACCTTGAGGTAGGCCTGATAAATAATCTGACACTGGAACCAATGGCAGTTTTGCACCAGCTTTATTAGGTGCGGGTTTCAGTTTCTCAGGTGTGGGCTGTATGAGCCAGAACATATTATACCTAGTAGGTGTCTAAGTGACATATCCAACACTATCCACCTTGCTTTAGTCCTTGAAAACCTACCGAACAGATCAGTATTTGTAATGCCTTAAGTTATGGACTAAGCCTAAATCGCAAAAAGCGGCAGGGAAGAAGAGGACTCATTCACCTTTTACAGTAATGTATTTTTCAGGGATTTGAACAGAGTGGAATAGCATTACTAACAAATAGAAGATCTGGCCCAATGTTTTTAAACTTGGTCTCTAACTTGGTCTTTCACAACCTGAGTCTGTAAGCTTTCATGCTAGAAAAAGTCTATTTTCCCAGGCTGTTTAAGAAGGATTGGTTAGGGACTGGAGTGGTTAAATTCACAGGCACTTCTTTTGCATGGTTTAATGAATTTAATAGGTGCCCAGAAAATAGGATTTGGACTTATATATACATATAGGCACCTCTCTTATAATAGTTTCATAGTTGCTAGGGGCTGCTGGAAGGGACCTTACAGATGATCATCTCCAGCCCCCGTGCACTTGGGCAGGAAAGACTGCTGGGATCAGGTGACCCCAGCAAGATGGGCACCAAGACGCTTTTTGAAGATCGCCAGGGTGGATGACTGTATTACCTGTGGTGGGAGCCTGTTCCAAACCCTTGGCACTTGGCTTGTAAAGAAGTTTTTCCTTATGTCTAGCCTGAAGCGGTCTTCAATCATGCATTAATTCAACTAAATAAACGCTATAGTAATACCCCCAAAATAATTTTCACTGTATTGGGCACTGCATGACAATAAGAGATAGTCCCTGTCCTGGAGAGCTTACAATATAAAAACAAGCTATACGTTAACTGCTACAAGAAAAAAGTGCCCCAGCACATTAAATATAAGTTATGGAAGCATTATTCTAGTATAGAATTTTTAAAAATCTTGTACATTTTGTGAAAGTGTAGGAACCTTTTGCAATATAAAATTGCTCTCTATTTTGTATGTAGTTATATAGAGCATTTTAAGAATTTATCCACTTGTATTTGAACCAGCCTACATTTCTGGTAAAATGCTTGCTTATTTTATAACTTTACTTAAATGTTGTAGTAGTATACATTCACTGGAAAAAGTGTAGAGAATAACCTCTAAATCAATCCATGAAGGGACGGCTGTAATTAAACTCATATAATTACAGATGTTAGCACTGAATAGTCCCTAAAGTAATGAATGTAGTGTTCTCCATTGTCATGAGACAAACTGGCTAAATTTAAACTTGTATATTCTGTGGTAGCAAAATTAAACTGAGATGTTGGAATAGTTTCCTGTACCAATATTTGACCATGGTTATTTACAGGCTATTGGCCTGTACAACAGTGTTGACTTGCAGAATTTTATATATGTGTACACACACACACACACACACACACACGTGTGCACACACGTGTATAAATAAAACAGAACATGACCACACCTTTCAAAATGCTGCATACATTCATACATATATATACTCTAAAACTCAGATTTTCCCAGACCTGGACCTAATGAAGTCAATATGCCAAATCTGAATTTATTAGGTTTTCGACATAATGTCAAACAATCAAATTTGACCAATCAGTTTGACCTCAACCCCTGGGAAGATTTTGGAAACAATTATCAAGAAAACCATTCTAGACAGGCTAACAGAAGGCAACATTCTGATGGATAGCCAGCATAGGTTTGTTAGGTGTAGGTCTTGCCTAACCAACCTCATTTCCTTCTGTGACTGGGTGACATATCACCTGGACTTCAAAAAAGCCTTTGACCTGGTATCTCATGATGTCCTTATGGAAAAATTGGGCAACTGCGGTCTTGACTACTCAACGTTTTGATGGCTGGGGAACTGGCTCCGAGGTCGGACCCAGAGAGTGGTAGTTGACAGAACCGAATCAACGTGGCACTCTGTGACTAGTGGTGACCCCAAGTTTCCATCTTCAGACCTGTACTCTTTAATGTCTTCATAAATGATCTGGACATTGGTGTTAGAAGCGGCCTGGTTAAGTTCACTGATGACACCAAAATTTGGGGAAGAGTGTCCACACTTGAGGATAGGCTGGTAATCCAGGCTGACCTCAATAAGTTTGCAAGATGAGCACATGAAAACATGATGGCATTCAATATGGAAAAATGCAAGGTGCTCCACTTCGGGAATAAAAACCTGAATCACACTTATAGGCTCAGCAGTGCTACACTCACTAGCACCGTGACCAAAAGAGACTTGGAGGTCATGATTGACCACAAGATGAACATGAGCCACCAATGCGACACTACAGCTGGCAAAGCAAACAAAACTCTGGCTTGCATCTACCGATGCTTTCTGAGCAGGACCCAGGATGTCATCCTCCTGCTGTACTCAGCCTCGGTGAGACCACAGCTGGAGTACTGCATCCAATTCTGGGTGCCATAATTTAAGAAGGATGTGGAGAAGCTTGAAAGAGTCCACAGAAGAGCCACATGCATGATCAGAGGGCAAGAGAACAGGCCTTATGAAAAAAGGCTGCAACCTGTGAGTCTCTTCAGCCTGGAGAAGTGCAGGCTCAGGGGTGACTTGGTGGCAGCCTATAAGTACATAAGGGGTGTGCATCAGGATCTGGGGGAATGCCTGTTCACCAGAGCACTCCAAGGGATGACAAGGTCTAACAGTTACAAACTCCTGCAAGACCATTTTAGGCTGGACATAAGGAAAATCTACTTTACTGTCCAAGATCCCAAGGCCTGGAACAGATGCCCCCGAGAGATGGTGCAAGCACCTACTCTAGACACTTTTAAGAAATATTTGGATGCTTATCTTGCTGGGATCCTTTGACCCTAGCTGACTTCCTGCCCCTTGGGCAGGGAACTCAACTTGATGATCTTACAAGGTCTCTTCCAGCCCTAATGTCTTTGACAACTATGAAATTCCACCATTTTGAGAGACATTGTGTGATAACAGTAAATAATAAAACCCACGTACTGAGAAAAGTGAACCAGTGAAAAGGTTTGATCATTATAATCCAGGGCATGTGAACAGTACTAAATACCATGTTCTCATTTTAAAAAAATGGTTAAGTTTTTACTTTTATATTTTCTTATTGTTGTAATTTAGATCATGGTATTTGATTGTTTGAACTACTTTTAACTTATTATCTGCATATTATGATACCTAGGAGCCCATCAGGGATTGAGTTCCCATTGTGTTATTAAACACTGTACAAACAGAACAAAAACACAGGTCCTACCCAAGAGATTCTAAGAATAAGACAAGAGATAACAGATGGATACAATCAGATTGACAGGGAAACAGTGAGTCTATACTGGTCAGAAGGATAAGCAATGGTATCAGTAAAAAATAAAGCCTAATCATTTCAACTGTCTATAGGCATTATGGCAAAGAAGTGTTTTAATATCTACCCAGATTAGGATAGTAATGCACCTCTGCAGATGATTATAAAGAGCTTCTCCCAAACATGGAAGGCATCATGAGAGAAAGCAGGAAAGTACTTGTGTGAAAATTAACAAGTGGGTGATATAGGAGGGCATCAATGGCCAAAAAGAGTTGAGTTAGCCTCTCAAAGAAGAAGATATGTTAGTTGGGTTGATACAGGCTATGAAGAGCCTTGAAGGGGAAAACAAGTAGCTTACATTTGATATGGTAGACAAAGCAGTCAGTGAAAGCATGCAAAGAGAGTGGTGATATGGTCAGAGCTTAGGACTAGGAAAATGATCTTTATGAGCACACTAAGATTGCATTTGTAAAGACCAGAGGAAAGGATACTGCAATAATCAAGATGCAAAGTGATGAGAGCCTAGAGTTTCAGTTACATGTATGGATAGGGAAGGGCATTATCTTTGAGGTGTTATGCAGAAAGGATTGGCACAGTTCAGATACCACTTGGATGTGACAGCCTACACATGGCTCTGAGTCAAAGATGACATCCAGATCATAGACCTCAATAATAAGACAGGATTGTAGGGCTGTCCATAGAAATTGAGAAATTAGATAGTGCAAAAAGTATTTTTTTAGATTTTTATTTTTCTTTCTAAGTTTTTTTTTAAACTGTTTGTTCAACTTATAAGTATTGAGAATGTCACATATATCATTCCCTGTTTTTCCCAGAAAACCTCCAGGAAGTCACAGTAAGTGCTAACCCACAATGGGGAAAGTATGCTAATTCTTTAACAGAGCCTTTCTTTACTTAAAGGGCATTTATACACATACTTATTTTCCAGTGATGCACTACATTCTGCCACTTTGGAGCAGACTTAATTAATGGAGTCTGCTTTGCACACGAGCTGAGGCAAACTGCACTGCACTGCATGAAGTTGTATAAGTGCTGAAATATACATTGTAGCAGAAAGGTGGGGGTGAGGGCAACTAGCAAAGCCCAGAAGCACCAGAAATACCCATAATAGAACATAGGTATAGCTATGCCTAGATCATCTCTGACCAATGGCTGTCCAACCTCTTCTTGAACACCTCTAGTGATAATGAGTCCACAACTTCCCTAGGCAGTCTATTCCACTGCCTTACTACTCTAACAGCAAAGAAGCTTTTCTGGATAGTCAATCTAAACTTACTTTGCTGCAACTTTAAGTCTTTGGTCCATGTTCTCTCTACATCAAAAGAGAAAAGGTGCATTCCCCCTTCTTTATAACAGCATTTCAAGTATTTGAAAACTGCTATCATGTCCCCTCTTAAGCACCTTTTCCACAAGCTAAACATGCCTCGCTCCTTCAGCCATAGGTAATGTGTAAAAGGTGCACGGGGGTGCACATGCACCCCCTGAGAGCACTGGTGCTCCCCCGAGAGCAAGCAGTCTTGGCTTAAGCGATGGGCTGAGGGAGCACTGGTACCCCCCCTTATAAGTGCCACAAGCACTTCCGGGCTTGGCATCCAGCTGTGGGGGACCCCGGTCGGCTTCTGACACTGTCACAGCTGCCTGTAGACAATCCCTGCTTGGCCTACCCTCGCTGCTGACGTCAGTGTGGCCACCTGCGGGCGGCCCTGCTCACCACTGCCACGTTGCCGCCACCTGTGGGCAGTCACCGTGCCCCCACAGCCTCGGGAGGTACACATCACCTATGCCTTCAGCCTCTCCTCATATGATTTCCTAAGCCCTTTATCATCCTTGTTGCCCTCTCTAACTTCTCCATGTCCCTTTTCAAATGTGGAGCCCAGAACTGCACACAGTACTCCAGAGGAGACCTCGCCAATGCTGAGTAGAGGGGCACTATCACCTCCCATGTCTTGTACCTAATGCTTCTATTGATGCATCCCAAAATCACATTTGCCTTTTGTGCGGCTGTGCACACTGCAGACTCGTATTGAGTTTGTGGTCTACCAAGACTCCCAAGTCCTTTTCCATTGTGCTGCCATCTAATTAGGTGTCACCCAATTTATATTTGTGTTTTTGATTATTCCCTTCTGAGATGCAGCACCTTGCATTGTCTGCATTGAACTTCATCCTGTTAGCCCTAGCCCAACTTTCCAATCTGTCAAGATCCTTCAGAATT